AGCCGTTCTACGTCACCCGTAAAATATTTGCCCGAACCGTTTAACGCACACTCTTGATTGGAAAAACAACAGCGGGTTCTTTTCTATTACACACATCTGTGATGCATAGTAGATGGGGTGGACTTAATAGCCACGAAGACCTGCTGCTCAGTGAGGGAAACCAGTGACCTNNCGGGGCTCGAGCCTGTGTCTACACCCACCGGTCGTGGTGATCAGCTCGAAATAATCAAGAGCTTTAGCACTTTGGTGGCTTGATCGTGAGTGAAAGTGGAGATGAGATCACATCACGAATGACGAAAGCTAGTGGCTTTCACCAACCTACGATACCTATGGCACCATGGCATTCGACTTCCTTTAGTGTACATTGCCGTGGTTCGCAGTGTTTTACTTCACAGTTGCGAGACGTGATCTCTTCCAACTAAGGATGCCAATCGACTTTCTATACTCGACCACCGATGATTTCAAGACAGTACTAATTTCTGGTGGGAACATCGTTTGAGCGAAGCGAAATTTGTCCGGGCACTAATAGTCGTGCTATGACAGAAGTAATCACTCCACAGTGCCTCTAATGGTTCGATCATGTTTTACGTATGCCTGTTTGCCGTCCACCTCTTCGTGCTTTCTTTGCATGTACCGGGCAAGGCTGAAAGAAGCGTCACGGCGGTTAAACTGACATGGTGTAGCAGTACGAAAAAGCCAGCTTCAGCACAGGGTTTGATTGATAAGCTCCCCTGCTAGGTTGAAACTCAAAGAATGAGGATTGCCGATGGCTGAAGATGCTGGGAGATATGGCTCATAAAAGAAGTCAGCGACATGATTGTTTCATGGTTCGCTTGTTGAAAAACTGTTCCCCGTAATGAACAAAAAGTTCTACGGCGTAGATGACGAAAATACGTCAAGTTGTTCTGTTATGTTCCCACAATTTTCATCTGTTATTCACATACTTCCTATTGCAAAATATCCCACGAAGATGCCTAACTCGCGTTTGTTGCGGTTAGTAGCATTTAACCCAACTACAGAACATTGAAATATAGTAGTGATTTATTAATGGGCCCGTCGTGAAAGAGCTGTCCAGACGGATTTACCCGGTGTTGCAAATGAGGCTATTGTGACGAAAATACACTTTCTGAGTACAAATATATGAATGAAAAGACAAAAGACTACCACATACGCATGCCTGACGAGCGAAAAGAACCGCGAAATAGTTGTGCCCTCGGGGGAATTTCGTCTAGTTTCAACAGAACCATAAGCAATGTCTGGTACTTCAAAAGTTAGTCGGCCAATCTAATTGTGAAGTGCGAAATGGAACAAAATTAATCAAGACTGTTTGCTATCCACTATGAAGCTCAGCAGTTCGAGTTCCAACAAGCACATAACAGATATTCTAGTAACTTGATCATTAACTCACGTGAAGTACAGAATGTAACTGCTTTTAGACGGAAACAGCAAATAATTTTCGCCGGTTTTTGGTGCATACGCGCTGCCATCTGGAAGTACGCCGACTTCCACGCGACCGGTTGGTTTGGGGTTAGGAAGAAGCTTTTCCAAATCATCATAGGTGATGATCTGATGATCATGCTCAGGTGGTGCCTCGGATCCTGCGCTATTTGGCGCAGGACGAACTGCTAGCCCAGGTGGACCGGTGGATTGTCGCTGATCATAGTAGGCCCCAGGAGGTAAAATCAGGGGCGATAGTTTTGGATAAGCAAAGTTATTGGTAGAATCGCGAAAACCTCTGGTAACAGCGGGTACAGCTGCCAGCCCAGGCTGAGTAGGAATAAATCCGGGCTGGTGTAGAAGCAATGATTGAGCACGATCGTGGGCCATTACTAAAAAAGTTAAACAAATAACGACGGAAATGCGTGAAATTGACAAGAGAAATTACGAACCCAAGAATCATTGAGAATTATATAGATTACGGTTAGTGAGTAAAACTGCATGATCAACTTTGGAATTTAATAAATCAAAACATGAATAAGCGACATTCATCAAAAGGTTCCCAGGTCGGAGTGGCAAGTAGGAATTTATTTCGGCGGGGCATATGAAGAAACTGCACAAAAACATACCTACGAGATCGAGTCACCAAATACCTTCCTCAAAAGATTCAGGTTCAATTGGCCAACTTGCTGATTGACAAAAGGCAGTTACGTCCGTTCAGGGCACAAACTCCGCGAAGGGGTGGAAAAGAACGTTCGACTGTAAGATGTGCCACAGGCCGCTAATCTTACAACAATGTCCAGCGTTTTCTGTATTGTCACAGGTGACAAAATTGCATAATCACTTTCTGAACCACATTCGCTGAAGTGGACTCAATCACTGATTAGCATACCAGTACTTCACCCGAAAACTTAGCTTCAGGTTAAATATGCGACAGTACGAAACGGAATAACAGTAAGCCAGGCTGTCATGTCGCGCCAGAAACACACTTCATTCGTCCGGGTTTTGAGCAACCACTCACCGATGGTTACTTAAATCTGATGGAAGAACCGAGAATTTAATAATAAAAATTATAAATCGCCTATGGAAAAAGCATTGACAGTCAAGAGCTATCAATTCATCAGGATTAAACATGATTCCCAAAATGTAGTAACCATGACAACTTTCAAAAATAGCAATTTCATAAGACCATTCAGAAACCTACAGCAAGTTCTCTTTGCCTCTGAATGAAGTTACAAAAGGTAAAATTTCATCAACAGCGAAAGAAAGCAACACACCGACATTAAAGGATAGTATGAGTGGATTGGAGTAATTTTATACTGGGTGAAAACTGAGGAGCTTTGGTGCCTCCTGAAGCTACTTCATGCGACCAGTTAATACTGATAGGTATTGAACGTAATTTTACACCATACCAATTAATGAGGCCGCCTCCGAAAGCCTCAGTATGGTCGGGGGTGGGAATTCAGTGTTGCGGCTGGTCACCCTTCCCTTGCACCTCT